TTTCAGCATCTTAATCTCTTGATTGTTATTTCAGAAAACTTTGTGCCATACAAAAGATTTGAAATAATTAGTTTTTTAAATACAGATCCAAATTTAATTTGCTCAAACTTGATAGATGCCTTATTTCTGTAGACTTCTTATCAGAAGAATTATTATTCTTTGAGGTCAGGAAGATGACAACTTTTCATAATGAACTTAGCCGGTACAATATTATAGAGTTGATCCCAAAATTGCAGAACAAGTAAATATCACCTTTAATTATGTCTATTGATCTAAGAGACTTAACTCTGAATGAATCATTGTCCTAAATTTAGTAAAGTAGTAGTGTATATTGCACTAGCATCTTATTTTTTCGCAATATAAATAAGGTAGAACAAAATTATTTGATCCTGAAAATGTGAGTTATCAGTAGTGTATCAGGTTTTAAGGACAGCTGATACAATAATAGTTGAAAATCTTTTTATCAAAGGAAAATACATGATTACTTAGTTTGCACACAGATGCTAAGATGTATTTATTTGAAAGCTGATTCTTATAATTGAGCTGCCACTTCATCCAACGGCTGTACCAAGAATAAATGTGTGTAACGCATAAGATGATAAAGATTCACATTTGAAACATTGTATTCTAATTTTGTGATTATGAATATCCTGAAAATTGTATTAACTAAGAATGTTAGCAACTATTTTGCTTTCTTCCTTGAGATTTATTCAAGCTAGTAATAGTAATGTTTGGTCTTATGAATCATAATATACTATTGGAGTAATATAGAGTTGAATGCATAACTTAAGGCGATGTCTTGTAAAAGCACACTTTATGAATTACTACTTTGGATTAATGTGATAAATTTAATATAACACACTCTAATATGGTTCTATAGGATGACAATTTTATGCAGCTACATGGTTATTTAATAATAATGTTTATATAGTTTTTCCTTCATTTTATGTGCTACTGATAACTAATGGAAATATTTTAAGGTGCATTCCACTATCATCCAATATCTTAATGTATCACTCGTGTTGTTACATAACCATAATGAGGTCTGGTAGAACTGTGTTATAGAGTGTCGATTATAAGAGCATCAGCGCATCAACTTTAGCTACTCTTCTCAATCACTTTAATGCGTTAATCATTGTAAATTTTTGACGGTGAATCTACTATTCTACTATGACCGCACTTACACTAAGGTAAACTCTTTGCCTAATACTACTGATATAGATTTATTATATCAACTGTTCTAATCCTTAGGCTATAACATTTACTTAACTTGTGATGATGGATTTATCAACTCCAAATATATATACAAGCATTTTTGCCAATAAACAATCCTAAGTAGATTTATTAGAGCACCTAAATGCGACTTTTTAGTCAAATTTTGATGCCAACTTTATTCATAGTACTTAGAAATATAGGTGTTGCATTCTTATTTGGGAGATAATGTATACAGTATTTGGAATGTTTTGTTGCAAGCATTCATCCACTTTTTNTGTTATTTAAAACAATTAAAGCTATTGCTACTAGTACTCTATTTTTAGGATGATGCTTACTACTTAAGTAGAGCCAGCTTAACCGGTATCTAAGAAAAAACTTTGTCGTTCATTAAAGATTGCCCCAACTGTCTTGAATATTCAATGGTGTGATGTAAATTTACAACCATTCTAGCCCTTTAGTATTCTTTCTTTATATGATAAAATTACCCAGCTAAATTAAAAATTTATTGAGTAATTTAGACATTTAATTATCACAAGCTGTTTAATATACATATCGCACTATCTAATTTTTCATTTAAGCCACTAAAATAATGATTGTAAAGATGCACCTTTAATTATGTCTATTGATCTAAGAGACTTAACTCTGAATGAATCATTGTCCTAAATTTAGTAAAGTAGTAGTGTATATTGCACTAGCATCTTATTTTTTCGCAATATAAATAAGGTAGAACAAAATTATTTGATCCTGAAAATGTGAGTTATCAGTAGTGTATCAGGTTTTAAGGACAGCTGATACAATAATAGTTGAAAATCTTTTTATCAAAGGAAAATACATGATTACTTAGTTTGCACACAGATGCTAAGATGTATTTATTTGAAAGCTGATTCTTATAATTGAGCTGCCACTTCATCCAACGGCTGTACCAAGAATAAATGTGTGTAACGCATAAGATGATAAAGATTCACATTTGAAACATTGTATTCTAATTTTGTGATTATGAATATCCTGAAAATTGTATTAACTAAGAATGTTAGCAACTATTTTGCTTTCTTCCTTGAGATTTATTCAAGCTAGTAATAGTAATGTTTGGTCTTATGAATCATAATATACTATTGGAGTAATATAGAGTTGAATGCATAACTTAAGGCGATGTCTTGTAAAAGCACACTTTATGAATTACTACTTTGGATTAATGTGATAAATTTAATATAACACACTCTAATATGGTTCTATAGGATGACAATTTTATGCAGCTACATGGTTATTTAATAATAATGTTTATATAGTTTTTCCTTCATTTTATGTGCTACTGATAACTAATGGAAATATTTTAAGGTGCATTCCACTATCATCCAATATCTTAATGTATCACTCGTGTTGTTACATAACCATAATGAGGTCTGGTAGAACTGTGTTATAGAGTGTCGATTATAAGAGCATCAGCGCATCAACTTTAGCTACTCTTCTCAATCACTTTAATGCGTTAATCATTGTAAATTTTTGACGGTGAATCTACTATTCTACTATGACCGCACTTACACTAAGGTAAACTCTTTGCCTAATACTACTGATATAGATTTATTATATCAACTGTTCTAATCCTTAGGCTATAACATTTACTTAACTTGTGATGATGGATTTATCAACTCCAAATATATATACAAGCATTTTTGCCAATAAACAATCCTAAGTAGATTTATTAGAGCACCTAAATGCGACTTTTTAGTCAAATTTTGATGCCAACTTTATTCATAGTACTTAGAAATATAGGTGTTGCATTCTTATTTGGGAGATAATGTATACAGTATTTGGAATGTTTTGTTGCAAGCATTCATCCACTTTTTTGATTAAAAATTATTAGCCATCATTTATTCTTAACCATTCATGTGAATTTTGTTCCAAACATTCCATCATCAGGCTACTTTGCAAATTAGTGTTGCTATCCTTAATGTAGAAGTTTTGTAAAATTGTTCATAAATTTGCACATTCGAGCGACAACAGTATAAGTTGATTAAATTTATTTAACAAGTACCCGAGCAAACCAAAAATGAACAGCTCACATATATACAAATCATATTGTGTCTAAATTGATTCAGCATTCTAAATATTTTTTAATATCACTATTTAATCTAGCAAACATCTTATAGTAACGCTCCATTCCATGCTTACCTTATATCATTTTATTGTAGTTAAAACATCATGTACAATATGATACTTCCAAAAATTATGTTGACTGTAATTAATGCTCCGCTGTATGTGCATTTAGCGAAGCTCCCTTAAGCAGTTCAGAACAATCAATAATTTGGCATTTCATTTAGTTCTTTTCACTCTTCTCGCACTATTAACTCTTATGATCGTTCTAAATCTTGAATACATATTCATATGCTAATTGTTCTATACAACATACATTGAATACAAGCTTTTATATGGTTTTTATGGTAATGCCTACAACTTGAGTAATAGATTGCTCAATGATTGTAGGCCATAACTTGTTAAATTATTTTAACGTCTGTTATTCAACTGTTCATTCCTCTAGTAATTGCAAGTATATTATGGAGCTTATATTAAAGTATATTTTTTATATATCCTTTATTTCCTCAAATAAAAATTTATACCATCTCTTGACCATTGTTCTACTGCATGATAATCGCTTCGAGATTATCTTTTTAAAAACATCAGTTAATGCTTCGATAAAGTAATAATAGAGCTATAAACCAACCCTACATATGACTGTTCCCAACTTTTAATTTTTATTTAAGAAAATACTAATTAAGGCAGACGCAATAATTATAATTTTAGAAATCTTTTTAATGATTACGAGAATTTATTTAAGATACTCGAATATACAGATGATTTACATATTTATGATTTAGTGTTTTAGATTCTATCTAACTGCATTCAAATCATACATTTTGATAGATAAGGTTTCATTCCAAGACTTTTATATTTAGAAAATTTTCCATAGCCACAGTAACTTCTTGTGTTCTAAAAAAATCAATTTGATTGACTACTATTTTATGGATCCTAGGTATCAAGAATTATGCAATGACCCAATTGAATCTCTACAATTTGATCTTGAATACTATGAACCAACCTAATTAGATGAAACTTATCATGAATTGTAAAGAAATGGAAGACATTAGAAAATATTATCAGGAATATTCTAAATAAAAGTATATATAATTAATTGATTTTATAGAAAATATAAATAATAGATGACAATTCGACTTCAGCTCTTGAATTATCAAGAAATCTATTAAATATGCAGACTTAGTCCTTTTCACCTTTAATGGATATATTAAAATACAGAATCCTTATTAACAGAGGGTTACAAGCAAATTCATAATAAACTAAAAATATAATAATTGGATTACATTTAAAATCACTGAATATTCTGAAAAGTTAAAAAGAATAATTTGTGGCTCTTCATATATTTGAAAGATTTTACGATGATGTAATTGGAGATACAATAGAAAATAATAATTTTAATTTATTTCAGCTTGAAACCATAGATCCAATAATATTAGTGGAATTATTGTAAATTGAATCAAGAAATAATCAATAATCAAGCAAAAGAAAATAATAATTCCAATTAAAATTATTATCTGATGTTTTATCTATGAGATAGATAGAAAATAATGATTTCATTCAAGGTTATCCCTTAAATTATAATTCTAAGATACTTAGCGAATCATTAGCTTAAGATAGTTAATTAACTTCTGGAATCTTAATTTTTTTATAAATCATCTTAAACTTGTAACTCATTTTATAATGACATTACAAAAATGCTAATAAAAATATTGAGTATCTAAAATAATAAGTTGCTGCTTCAGCCTGAGTAAATTAAATAGACATTGTTACTCTTAAATAAGTGTATTACAAGAGATCAAGTATAATTCACTTTATATATCAATGATAGTTTACCTATATTTGATTATTATATTAAGGAAGGGTATAACTTGTAAAAACCAACTCAAGATGGCTATGTTCAAATTAATGAGACAGAAACAGATGCAATTATTGTAACATGTATTAAAAACTTGTCATAATTTTTTGAATTGATAAGAAAACATCACTCTTTTAATCAAATATATATTGATACTATATTGGTTGGAATGATTTTAAACTCAAATATTCTAAGCTCTCTTAATAATATATTAAAATAACATTTTGAGACGACAACGACAGTAAAATATGTTTTATAATTTATTTCTTGTTTAGCTAATGCAAATCCTTCGCTAACTGTAAAAATTATTGATACCAATGTACCTCAAATCTTGAATGAGATTATAAACAAAAAAAATATAAAAGAATTAAAATTTGGAATGATCAAGGATATCTTAATGTTTTATGCAAATATTTGTAGGTCAGAAAAGGGATTTAAACGATTTAGTGGTAAAGCAATAAGTTTCATAAATGACCTATTAACCTATTATTTAATTGCTTAGGAAGGTATAAAATAGGTATAAATAAATAAATTAGGATAAATAATTCATAATTTTATTCAATAAAATAATAACATGGAAGAAATAATAAATAAAATTCTAAAAAATATATTAAAGTAATTATAAATCGTACTAATGTACAAATACCACAATTTAAACATTAATTAAGATTTAAGTCACTAATTTTAAGAGATTGTTAAGAAAAAGTTCGTCATCTTCTATTTTAATACAATATTATTTCCAGAGTAAAATATGATTAAATAAAGAAACTTGGGCTAAGATGGGATTATTGAAGAAATTGAGTAAATTTTTAAAATTCCGAGCTTTTACTATATTTCATTAAGTGTAAGTAAGTTATTTATTTTAGGGTCTTAAATTTACTAATATTATAGATAAAGTTATAGAGTTAATATCTAAATGGGAAGCAGAACTAGATTGTCCTTTGGAATATGCCTCACTCTAATATTTAGATGAAAAATAGTTATTATAATAGTATTCACCTAAAAATAGAGATATTGTCTCCCGCTTTTCACAAATTTTTCACTATTTGACTTGTATAAATGAAAAAAATATAAGATCAACCCCTTATGAAAAAAAAGAAAAATGGTTGCAAAAATGTTGCGTTCTTTTAGNATAAATCATCTTAAACTTGTAACTCATTTTATAATGACATTACAAAAATGCTAATAAAAATATTGAGTATCTAAAATAATAAGTTGCTGCTTCAGCCTGTAAATTAAAATATACTTAACCGAAGCTGTTAAGTAACTTCTAAATTTGAGATGTGTGACGATTATGATAATAGAAATTAATCTGCTAAACCTTTTTCTATTTTACTTCATCATTCTCATAAAATTTGAGACACTTTTTAAAATGTTTTGTCAGTTATGGCACTTTTAATCATTAATCATTAAGTTATCTACTTTCCTTTTTAATAATAATATAACTTCCAAAGAAGTGATATATCTAATGAGACTTTTAGAAAACCATTTCATCCATCAAGGATCCTGGACTTTTATGCAATATTGAGCAATTTATCGAAGGATATTTATCTCAACACTTAGAATAAAAATAATATAAAAATATTTAAATAATATAAAAAGATCTTTTTTAATTTTATAATGTGCTAATAATATTATGAGTAATTCAAATAAGAATGGTTATCTAATCACAAATTTGTATTAATAGTCATTTTTTAAATTTGTTCCTATAATTCTACTAAAAATACAGTTACAGCTAGGAATTCAACTTTTCTTCAAACTAATTAATGAGTTAAATTAAATTGGCAGCATCACTAATCGACATCCTCATGTATTTATTAGTACTTCACTTAACTTTATACAAGATATCAAGGTACAAGAGTGTAAGCAAGAAGTTTGTAACTTTGGAGGATGTAGAATTAGTTAAATGCTAAAGATAGTTCAATCTATCAAGTCAGAAATGAATAAACTTCATTATAAGAACGAATAATTCAGAGAAGTAAAATTACAAAATAATCAATACAATTATTGCAATAATAATAGCTGACTCAAAATTTAAGCTCTTTTACAATAGTGATCCAAACAAAAATAAATCATAAATTAAGGATTTAATAACTTCAACTCCTAACTTCATAAACGAATTCTTAACCTTGTTTAAAAATTATGTGGAGCTAAAAATATTAAATACTATTTGGAGAATTAATTATACTCTCAGTCATATGATTCTCAAAATGAATTCATAGGTTTAGGAGTATTACTATGAAAAAACAAGTGGAGGAGAAAGATACCCTTTATGTAAATATAGAATTTTCAGGATTAATGATCGATCATGATTAGCCAACTTGGATATAGCATAATAGTAAGAATATTAATGTTAAAACTCTTTTTTTACAGGATAGCATTAAAATAAATGATTAGAACCAGAAATAAGAGATTTCGTTTAAAATTTAGATTTATATATATATATCAGATTTCAATAAAAATACATCTTAAGCTGATAGCCTTCCTCAATTTGGATATCAAAAAAATATCACCTTCTCATTAACTCTGGTGGTAGCCAAAATAATAATTACTACATGAAGTTAAGTTTATGAAGATAATGAGGTCACGCCTAGATCTAGTACTATAAGGATACAGAATCCATAAAGTATTGAATTGGTAATTAAACGCAGAAAAACCTAAGGAGTATTGATTACTGCTCTATGTTATCCTGATTGTTCATTATTTTTAAGACGAATTAGCTCATCTAATAGTCCCGTATTAATGGTTCTCGTATGGCAGTTTTAAGAAGCAAAGAACCAACAACAATGTACTAGTAAAATTGTCTTTATTAAGTAAAAGTCCATCAACATAATCTAGAAATAAGAACCATCACAAATGTACCTGTGCTGTTAGAACAAATTAAGTGATGGTTTGAGTATAGAATGAAATAAGCAGGCAAGGATCCATAGCAGAATTTATCATGGGACAACATAATGTACATGTTGTTAACTTCATACCTAAAAATAGAGTTTCAAATATTGCAAGTGCAAGTTTTATCATGTAATCGTCAGTTGTTTAGCCTGGGCATTGAAGTTTGAATTTCAAGTTTAAAGAATCCATCTGCATAGACTATTAGTATGTAGGATCTTGTCATCAATGTGCTTAAACTCTAATAGTATGTACTACAGTTAGTAAAAGAAAAAACAGCGTGTACAAAAAATCTCATTAAATATACATCACATCTGTCCTGATCAAAGTCTAATCCATCTCCACGAAATATCATTTTTAAAGCATAGGGAATTAGTTCACCTGACAGAAATCAATTCCATTAAAATATAAAAATAGTTCATAATAATTAATGTTTTATTAGAACTCATAGATTTTAAAAATTACTGATTTGATTAGTTAAGAACCTCTTTATGGAAAATAAAAAAGAGAATAAGGAGGAAAATTGGATGAATTAAATTTTAAAATATCAAATATTTGAAAAAAACGAATTATCCTCATAGATTGCTTAATTTATTGTATTAAATTGAACATATCAGAAAAAAAGAACAATTAAAAAGAGAATTATAAGTAGAAAAAGTTTGTTTAATTATAGAGCATTTCTTCAGTATATGCGCAGGTTCATTGTCGCCATTTAGAGATATATTTATATATAATATGATAATTAACAAATGAAAGAAATAAGCATTAAAACTCAGAGTAATTATATTATAATTAACAAATTGTTTTATTTTTATGAGAAGGAAATAGCCCCTACAAAAATTTTAACTAAAATCATCAAGTACCAAGAAAATAATAGTCTTACCCAAATCAAATTATATAAATTTTATCCAAAAAGGTAAAAAATTTAAGAACTCTGGTCTCTAAAGTGATTTCAAATGATATCATCAATCAAATCAAGAACTCAATTTTCTATTTTGAAAAGGATTTTAAATCCTAAGATATGAAATTTAATGGTAAATTCAAACTCATATTAAAAAATCTAACTTAATATCTTTGAAAGGAACCTAATTGGTCCTCATAATTAAAAAATACATAAGTTTAAAGAAGAATCTGATGATGAGGAAATAATTTTCAATATGGTGGTAAAAAAATTACTTTGTTACCTAAGATAATAATAAAAAAAATTGAGCCATGAAAATTACTCCAAGGCCTCTTAAATGGTTCGCATTGAGTTAAGAATTATCAAATACTCTTATGAATATTTAATCTATGTATCACAAATATAAAATAAAATATTAGATCAAAATTTCTCTTGGAAGTGTAATCAGATATCAATTATACCTCCTCAATTATAATTTTATTTGTCTTGTTATTAATTTTAAATCCTTCGAAATACTTTATTTTATTTATTCCCAAAATTAAAGCCTAATTAAAGAATATTTATCAAATTATTACCAAATTAATCTTCTAAAATAACTTCTAATTATACAATAATAAATTTAGCATTAACTTTTGAAAGAATTTTATTTGAATTTTTGTGTGTTTCATTCAAGCTAGATTAATCTCATAAATCTGTTGGAGACAAGGCTCATCTAATCAGTCATACTTTTATGAGTTCCTTACAAGATTATGTCAACAGTATGGAGTAGTTTTTTCCATCTTCTAGATCCAGTTGCCAGAGAGGCCTCTATAATGTTCTTAGATATGATTGATCTCTTATCCTCATATTTATCCCCTAAATATGCGCTTCCCAATAGAGAATATCCTCTTTGAAAATCATCACAAACGACTATATCGTGCTAACCATAACCATTATTACCAAAACAAGGTCCATAGCTCTAACCACACCATATAGCATATTATTTTTTATCTTATTTCAACGGATAAATTTAATTATGAGTCTATGAGAATAAAAAAGATGATAATGTATCATCTTAAACAAATCCTTTACTTTAATGCCATGAACAAGGAGAATATCCACCAAATATATATCCACTTGAAGATTTAAAAATGATTAGTAAATTGCTCTTAATTGCATGCATTCCAAAATGATTAGTTGTTGTTGCAGTTCAATTTATTTCATTTGATGCTGTTATTGTTTTCTTAAATTTCTCTTACAAAACATAAAATATACGAAACCAAAATTCCTCTTTTAACAATTTTGGCTTTAGATTTATTATTGGTTTAAACATTTATATTCTAAGATCTAATTCTTTGTAACTTGATGAATTATACTATCCTTATCGTTGATCTTTTGAGTTAGTTCTTAAATTTAGTTCTAATTTTTGATTTATTCCTCTTTTAATTGGTTTTCATATTTATTATATTCTTCTATCAGCTTATTATTTAAAAATTGATTGTCATCAGCTTACATTTTAGTTTTAATTAAATGTCCTTTTCAAATTCTTTAAGCTAATCTATATTTTTGTTCTAATCTTAAATCATCTTATTGCTTTCGTATTCTAATTACTCATAGTCTAAATGTAAATTATGGTACTTTTTTTCTAAATTTTGAATTTCGCAAAATTTCTTCATTTAATGAAAAACTTTTTAAAATTTATCAGAATAATTTTGAAGCCATTATTAAAGGCTAGTAAGATTTTAATGATCTGGAATTTATTTCATAATATCTTTAGTATTATTGATTTTTGCAAGGTGTTCTTAAAATTTTTGAATTGTTTGATTAAATAACCCCTTCCAAAAATAAATTTGCTTAGAAGAATTTAATATTTCTTCTAATTCTTGTTTTACTATCAATTATTCTTGATTTCCTTTTGTGCATCCTTGAATTTATTATACTAATAATGTAATTACTTGCATACTATTTTCGTCTTGTAAAATATTTAAGGATTCTTAAATTTCTAATTAATTATGCTATTTTAAGTGCTCAAATTTGTTCTCAATCTCTTTTGAAAATAAAGAGTCCTTAGATTTCATATATTCAATTTTTGAATCTAAAAGTATATCTTCTTTATGAGACTGAATCAATTAAGTAAGGTTTGAAATTAGTTCATTTTTTTTTTGGTTTAATCCTTCAATAGAGGTTTGTTTATATTTACAATTATCAACTGTTTTAGTTATTGGTATAGATAATACCAAAAGATTAAGAATACAGATTTAGTATTCGAAGTCCTATCTATCAATCAAAAAGCATCAAATAATGATATCGGCTACAATAAGCTGGTAAAGTAACCCAAACAGCTTAAGATGTTGTAGAAAATTGGAAGTATCTATGAATTTCATATCAAATATTGTATGTAATACAATAAAGAATCAAAATATAAACAAATANACCATTATTACCAAAACAAGGTCCATAGCTCTAACCACACCATATAGCATATTATTTTTTATCTTATTTCAACGGATAAATTTAATTATGAGTCTATGAGAATAAAAAAGATGATAATGTATCATCTTAAACGAATCCTTTACTTTAATGCCATAAACAAGGAGAATATCCACCAAATATATATCCACTTGAAGATTTAAAAATGATTAGTAAATTGCTTTTATCATTGCATGCATTCCAAAATGATTAGTTGTTGTTGCAGTTCAATTTTATTTCATTTGATGCTGTTATTGTTTTCTTAAATTTCTCTTACAAAACAAAAAATATACGAAACCAAAATTCCTCTTTTAACAATTTTGGTTTTAGATTTATTATTGGTTTAAACATTTATATTCTAAGATCTAATTCTTTGTAACTTGATGAATTATACTATCCTTATCGTTGATCTTTTGAGTTAGTTCTTAAATTTAGTTCTAATTTTTGATTTATTCCTCTTTTAATTGGTTTTCATATTTATTTTATTCTTCTATCAGCTGATTATTTAAAAATTGATTGTCATCAGCTTACATTTTTAGTTTTAATTAAATGTCCTTTTCAAATTCTTTAAGCTAATCTATATTTTTGTTCTAATCTTAAATCATCTTATTGCTTTCGTATTCTAATTACTCATAGTCTAAATGTAAATTATGGTACTTTTTTTCTAAATTTTGAATTTCGCAAAATTTCTTCATTTAATGAAAAACTTTTTAAAATTTATCAGAATAATTTTGAAGCCATTATTAAAGGCTAGTAAGATTTTAATGATCTGGAATTTATTTCATAATATCTTTAGTATTATTGATTTTTGCAAGGTGTTCTTAAAATTTTTGAATTGTTTGATTAAATAACCCCTTCCAAAAATAAATTTGCTTAGAAGAATTTAATATTTCTTCTAATTCTTGTTTTACTATCAATTATTCTTGATTTCCTTTTGTGCATCCTTGAATTTATTATACTAATAATGTAATTACTTGCATACTATTTTCGTCTTGTAAAATATTTAAGGATTCTTAAATTTCTAATTAATTATGCTATTTTAAGTGCTCAAATTTGTTCTCAATCTCTTTTGAAAATAAAGAGTCCTTAGATTTCATATATTCAATTTTTGAATCTAAAAGTATATCTTCTTTATGAGACTGAATCAATTAGGTAAGGTTTGAATTTAGTTCATTTTGGTTTAATCCTTCAATAGAGGTTTATTTATATTTACAATTATCAACTGTTTTAGTTATTGGTATAGAAAATTCTGTAATTAGCTTTTCACTAATTTCATTAAGTTATTAATTGTAATTTTTTCACATCAATGCAATTTATTAATTCAATTTTTCTTATTTTTTTTTCCTCTTTAACTGGAGATCATTTAAAATTTAATCTTATTGTTATTTAGAATTTCTCCATTCTTAATTTACTTTTTCGATTGTTCTATATTAACAATGAGGATGATCACTAATGCAATCAACACACACAAATCTATCTTCTACATTTTTATTCTTTGTATCTATATCAATCATTATAATTTCCTTATTATGGGTTGCACAAACTTTGTTTAAACTAGGCGTTTTCTAAAAATATAGTATAAATTTTACTTAATTATTATTATTTTTTTGGAGCAATTCAATTTAAATATTTTCCTATACGTCTATGATTTTTTATTTGGCATCTTTAATAGCGTCAATCGTTTAGAAGTATTCAGAATTATTAAATAGGAGTTCAAATTGTTTAAAAACTTCATCAATAAATTAGTCATCTGATGAAAATTCAAATTATTTATCTTGGGAATCTGCTGAAAGAAATTCAGATAATGATTGAAGATCCTCTTAAAAGTTGTGCTAGATTTAAAAGCTTTCTAATTACGATTATTCTTCTTTTTAAATTGTATGAATTTGAGCCTTTATTTAACTATATTACTTTTCCAAAGAGTTATCTACAGTCATTTTAAAATTCATAATCTAATCTAGTATATTTTTGAAGTAATCTAACCTCATTTAGATCTCTTTTATTTTTTTTTCCTTTTTTTAAGATTTTAGAGACAAAATTCTATCATTTATTTCTTAAATAGTTGATATTTTGTTATTATTCATTTTCTCTACTAAACAATTACAGCACAAGTAGTTAAATTAACCTTTTTCTGAGATGTCTAGATCTATAGCAATAATTTAAAGTTTATGAGTTTAACAAACCATTTCTTGTATGTCAGGTTTTTATTTATCTATTTATGAAGTTAGAATATTCATTTTTAATTTTAATAACGTGATTTTATCAATTGAAATATCACTAAAAGGACATTATTGAATTCTATTAACATATATTCTATTATTTTAGGTATTATGTCAATTATAACAATTTATATACTCAGATAAGGATGTTTCATCAATAGCTTCATAAAATTCATGTCTAAAACAAATTTATTATTTGTTACCTCCAATAGATTTAGATGAGCAATTAAGTTTATATTAGAGAAGGAGGAACTTGTACTTGAAATTTTTATTATTCTCTTAAATTTGAAATTCAATCATCTATTCCAGTTTTTTATATTATAAATCGCTTACTTCTTCCTTTCTTTATATTCTACAAATTTTCACTTTACTGAAATCTAAAATTTTTTGTGAAGACTACTTTTCTCATGACTTGATTAATAAATAGTATAATTTGCTTAAATAAATATTGATTTCGATCTCAAATAAGAATAATAATGATTCTGGATTAGATCATGAAAAATAATTAAATAATAAAATACTTACGATATAAGTTTGAAAATAAATTAAACAGCTATCTAAAAACTCAAAAAAATACAATTTACTCTAAAATTAAGGAAATGTATTTGAGAATTTCTTTCAATTGCTCCTCTGCTAATTATCAATATTATTGAATGTCTATGGAAAATTTCTTGATGCGCCTTTATTGAAAGGAATTGCATACATTTCACAGACGGTTTATATTAACAAAAAAACTTTTAGACAGCTAAATCATGGCTTATGTGTGCATAACATACGAAACAACAATATTAACAACAGCACTTGAATGCATTGGATACACTTGAGTATAATAAGATACCACCTCTATTTTGAGCATTCCATTTAAGTTTAATTATCATTTAACTCATATTAGATTATAAATTAGATGGAAAAAAATTTAGATATTATAAATTGAAGCTGATTCATCACTTATAAGCTATAATGGATGCTCCGATTTGTTTCTGATATGCAAGCTAAACTGAAAATTATATATTTATTTTGCTTATTTGTAAGCATCAGACGAAGATTGGAACTGAATTTGAATTCCAACCTAGTATACTTAACAGTTGCAAAGCAGATAGCTATAAGACTTTAAAATAATAAACATAATGTGAAGGTATTAACCCAATTTTTAACAAAACACGCAAAGGGCCTCTCATAAAATTGTGTAATCACTCCTGATTTACGTTTAATAAGCTTTTATTTTGTTACTATAATAAATATTTATCGGAATTAATGACGATATAATCAAGTAGCTTAAGTGGTTGTATATCAGCAACAAGTACGATGCAAAATACGAGTTTATAAATAAATTATTGCTAATTTTGATATGAAACTTATTATAAAAAGTTTTATGTAGGTCAAATGATTCCATAATATGCTCCTGTGATTCTATCTCTTTAAGCCTATTGTAATTGCGCTGAAATAAAGATTAACCTTTGAAATCAAGATATAAGAATTATTGATGAATATGATGCGATACCTTTATTAACATAATTTAAAAAATTTGGAATACAAAAACAATACAACTACAGATAGAGCCTAATCCTATATTATTAAAATATAATAAAGCCGAAATGTAAGTCTTAAAAAATAAGGTAAAATTACTCTTCCCCACAAAGTAATTATCTTTTTTGAAAATTAATCTAATTTATTATTTTGACCTTTACTTTTTGTTAATAAGAGTTAATCATGTATGGAGTTATTGCAAAATAATCATGAAAATATATTTAGTGCTATAGAGTGCATGTTACCACTTAACACTATTACGAAATTAAAATGATTATGTTATGGGACACATAAATTGAAAAATGAATAAATTAGCTTAATTTTTTAATATGTTATTTTTTAAAGGAGAGATGGGATTAATTTATCTAATTGTTTTAGTTCTGCCTATATTTGTTTTATTATTATCTTTCCTTCTTCTTTTCATAAATGCTAATTGGAAACAACATGCCAGTATTATTATCACAATTTTCAAGAATCCCTCAGCCTATCCAGATACTTCAACTCTAAATATTTGACTACCATTCTCATCCCTAACACATTTATTCAAATTCCTCAATAAAGACATATCCAATTGCCGTAACATCGATTTTCTTCTTAATATAGCAGTTAAATGTAGCTTATCAAATGCTGTCACTTTGTAATAAATCTCATGGTAATCCTCCAATGTTGATTCTTG